TGGTGTTTTGATGCTAATTTACAATATTTACAGTCTAAAAATAAATCCAGTGGTGCACACCATGAGGAGTTGGGATACTGGATATAAACTGGATAAAGTGTAATTTTAAAAGGCAACTTCTATAAATAAATGTGTTTACTCACTCTAAACACATTTTACTGCAACTTTCCCTCCTACGGTGACCTCGTGTGGATTACAACGGTATTGTGTGATAATGAAAGCATCACCTGTAGTAGATGCTTGAGCGAAAGCTTCAGATTGTTTTTCTCTAGAGGATAAATAGAAACGTGACACAGCTAAAGCCTGCCTTCCGTCTCTCCATCTGCTCTGGAATTCTTTGACCTTTAACAGGACATGCATAGTGGGGCCGTTGGAAACACTTTTGCCTCGCAGCAAAAAGGTCAAAGATTTAAAAACTGGCTGCTGATCGAGTTAGCGTGTTCTCTACATGTGTGCCAGGTACACTGGTCTCCTCTCACAGACCAAAAACCTGCAGGTTGGGCTAATTTAACTACATTGTTATATCCAGAAGTGGAAGTACCTCTGGGTAAAGGTTTGCTAAATAAATAAACACAAACTGAGTTCTTGAATGAGAGCTTTGAAAAGCTGCCTCGTATGCACACAGGTGCCCCATTCCTGGTACCGCTGGAGCGTCCTAGCGGACCCATTGACAGCAGCCCCAAACATGATTCAGCACTGGAGCCGTAGTCATCATAGCAGACCTGGATGATCAGGAGTGAACAAAGGGTGAACACTATCAACCATGTAACAGGAGGACTGGTAAACAGCCCACAGGTTGGAGACCGTCATGGCTTTTCAGGGCGATAACTGGGACACACCCAATTGTGGGCTGACAGCACAGAAGTGGGCAGGGTGGAGCAGGACAACCAACACAAAACCCAAACTGAACGGAAATAAAACAGAGACAGAACAGCAGCGCCTCATGGTGCGTCTCTCAATTAGGCGGATTAATGACGAGGATAAGACATGGGAAACACACCCATCATGCTGATGAGTTCCTTGTTTGGCCAAAATGGCTGACTGATCCTAGGATGCGGCCTCATCAGTAAGTGAAAGCTGAGGAACATCAAGCTCTTTATATATGCAGCCCCCCCCCCCCCCAACACACACACACCCCACCCCCATTGATTACCACTAATTGAAAGCAGGTGGAAATGATCATACTTCCACAATAATTCAAATATAAATATGATCAAATTAATTAAAACAAATTAAAATATTCAATCCCAACAGATAGGCTAGTAAATGGCCTGTATTTGTATAGTGCCTGATTAGAGTTCTACAACCCCCCCAAGGCGCTTCACAACACAATCAGTCATTCACCCATTCACACACACATTCACACACTGATGGGGATGAGCTACAATGTAGCTACAGCTGCCCTGGAGCGCACTGAGAGGCGAGGCCTGCCAAACACTGGTGCCACCAGTCCCTCGGACCACCACCAGAAAAGTCCCACCTGATCTGTTTTCAATAGTACGCCGGTTGTTGCAACCATAGGCTGCTCAAAAAATGGGCATAATGTTATGTCGATATGAGTTCCCCTGTCCAGATCTGTCCCAGTTTTGAGTTGAAACGATCCCCTCACAAAAAAATAACCCTCACCCTAACCAAAATGTATGTTTTGCATAAATATAATTAATGAATTTAACCTGTGTAACATGCTTGTTTTAGGGTTATGGTAAGGGTAAGGGTTAGGGTTAGGACACACATTTTGTGCGACTGGATGGTTCAAACTCACAGCTGGGTGGAAAACAAACAGATCTCAATGGGGAAGCTCATATCGACATTACACATAGTTTCCCACCCTGCACAAAGTCCGTTGTGGTTTGGAGAGTGATGAACCCACCCAATATGGCGGCGATGCTGTTACGCTTTCCAGTGCCCAATGGGGTGTCTAGATACTCATGTCTTTGGGAAACAACTACCTAACATGCTAGATGCTGGCTCTCTTTTCCCCTAAGTATCTCACTTCTTCTTTCACACACACTCTGGTGATTTATATAGATAGAGCTTAAATTATCCTGTAGCTGCTACAGTAAAATGCCTTTATTTATGGGATTTTAACTGTCAAAACGGTATATTTAATAATTAACTAATTCAATTTCTATGCTGTGTTTGTGCCACCTAATGGTTCAATCGTGTATTGCACTTTGAGTTGCAAATGCTTTGATCAATAGACAGACTGAAAACTCAAACTGGAAAAAGATTTTATGTAAAAATAAAATGCAAATAAAGAAAAACATGGACATTGTTGACTGTGGTGGTTCACATGGTAGATTTGTGTATTTGAGTATCATTATTATTGTCTAATTTATCTGTAAGTTTGATAATTGACTATCTGCAAAACAGAATTTCTGGAGAAGGAAGATTAGAGATTGTTGTGGAATTGTAGGATTTTTCCAGCACTTCATTTGAATACTTGAAATGGATTAAAAAGGGAAATCTTTTGCCACAAAGCCCTACTTATTTTGATCAGTCACCACTGCTTAGTCGCCTCAAAGAAAGGACAGAAAAGCACATATTTTCACACTATTCTTTCCTCTGTTTGAGTTGCTGCTATACTCCTCATGCGGTCACATTGCTGAGATTGATGCTATACACACTCTTCTGTGTTTTTCGTGTTTACAAAGACAGAAAAACATATTTTAGAGAGAAAAAAGTCAAACTCTGGTGCAGAGGTGGCAGCATGTCAAGCTGTGTTTACAGAATGGTGGGACTAACTCCACCTGTGCTGTGCCGGGCGTTGAGGTCTGCTGATTGCCTGCTGCTTCGTGTTCCATCGATGAAATACAAAACGCGGGGGCAGCGTGCTTTTGTCTATGCTGCTCCGACACTCTGGAATGCTCTTCCTCTTTCAGTGAGGCTGGCACCATCCCTCCTCCGGTTCAAATCGCTGCTGAAGGCTCACTTTTACGACCAGGCATTTTTAAATCCCTGACTTTTATTATTTTATTAAGTGTTTTTTTATTGACTGTGATTATCTGCCTTGTTGTGCATTTTATTGATGACCGTGTATTGTTTTATATTGTGTTTTTACTTTTTATTCTGTACAGTACTTTGGTCAGCTGCCATGCCGTTTTTAAATGTGCTTTATAAATAAAGTTGGTAGGGTATGGTATGGTATGGTATGGTATGGTATGGTATGCTTGTTTTGTCTGAATTCCAAGATCTCTGTGCTCAAGCACATCTGCAGTCAGATGTTTTGTGTCACAGTCAATAGCATGCCTAATATAGTGTATCTGTGTCTGTGTTTGTGTGACATCTATAATCCTAAATTCATACTGGATCAGCTGGCTAACTTCAGTCTTTAGACAATTTTTTTGCACAGAAATGCAATAATGTTGCTAAGCAACATGCTGAATTGTCAGAGAAATTTCAGCAGGTGTGAGCAGACTTTTGTGATATCTTATGTTCAAAATTTAATCCAACCTTTTCCCATAAACGGTTGTATAAGATGTTACTTCATTTATAAAACCAGATCACGTGCAAGGTGTTGTTTTGCACAAGAATAGATTGTGGCAATGTAACATTTGGGAGTAAACATAACCTTCATCAATTTTGTAAAAGGATGCTTTGTGAACGTGAACCAAACTGCCCCAACACAGGTCACATTTTGCCAACTACATTGATCCATAAAAGCTCAGTTAGCTCAAATTATTCAGGTAAACGTTGTTCTCTTTAATATCAGATACACATTGATGCAGCTCTCTGGAAAAATAGTCTGTGTGTGGATTTGTTTTTTCTGTGTGCAGATTTTGTAATTCATCTTATTCCAAAGGTCCTACCCTTAATCTGTACATCCCTTCAGGCATAAAACTCACTCATTCTAAAAATCAGTCTGTAATTCTGTTTATGTGAAGGCGACTGACCCTTCAGCAGGAATATGTGCAGGCTTAATTTATTATGTGTATGCAGTAGATTGACATTTACACTATGTAATTTGCATTTATACAGCACATTTGTAATATTGTGTCATCTGGTTGTCACAATGCAACAGGATGGACGATTCAACGAAAGCACATTTAATGTGATAATTTAACATGGTTATCAACATTTGTTTTTCTCAATATCTTATATTTTACTATCAACAGTTCACAAAAATGACTAACAGTCATAATTGCAAATTGTCATTTTAGTGAACTTTGTGGATTATCCAGATAGGAGTCAAATTCTGATGTTTTTTTTCTGTTAAAATACAAATTCTCCATCTTCTTTTGCCTAATTGGACCCAACAGGTCTTAAATGCTGCCAGTTTGTTTAAACTCAAAACACATTAAATAAATGCATATTTACTTTCCTCTGCACCAACATGTGCTTGAACCTTGAACAAAAAAACCTGGATATATATATTTTCCTTTTTTTAAAGAAAGAAAACAATCTTTTATGTAGTGCCTCTCAAGACAAAAATCACAAGACTCTTCGCAAAAACTAAACATTTTAAATATAAAATATTTTTAATATGTTTAAAATGACTAAATAAATAAAAAAATAAGCCTATGTGATGAAAATAACTAACAGTAACTTTAAAATGATAGTTTCAGCCAGTTTGATTTGGATGCATTATTCAATGTGCAAGGCTGCATCTTGGGTTTAAATCCCAACCTGGGGTCTCTGCATGTTCTCCAGCTTCCTCCCAGTCCATACATATGACTGTCAGGTTGACTAAGTTGTCCTTAGGTGTGTGTGTGTGTGTGTGCTTGGTTGTTTGTCCTGAGTGTCTCTATGTTGCCCTGCGATGGACTGAACCTGTCCAGGCTTCACCCCGCCTGTTTGCCCATACTGCTAGAAATAGGCACCAGCCCCCCGCATGCATAAGCAGGTATAGACAATAGTTGCATCCATCTATGCAACATGTAATGTGGATTTTGTATCTTTGTCAACAAAATGCACACAATGGTTAAACATTATCCTACTTTAAGGCTGCAGAGGGAGTTTTTATTGCAGAGGTAATGGCAGCAACGATTAATAGGCTGAGACCAAATATAGAAAAGATTTATTAGTTTTTTCAGGATGTACAAACCTTAATTTATTATTCAGTTATGTGTAAAACATTTTAAAAACAAATAGGTTCCATCATCACACCACCAGGTCAAAGCATCCTCATCATCACCTGGACACAGCAGCCTGGGGAATCTTAACCCGGGCTTTACAACAGCCACCTGTCAGTATTGTGCATTAGCTAATGAGCCTAGGCTGCTGACCACAGCTGCAGTGCAGAAATATTATTTCACCAGACTGACTGGAACGCCCTGCATTAATAAATCAGGTGAATGCATTTAATCAGATCCTGGACGTAATTCCACCATCAGCTTGCCAACGCTTCCGCAAACACCCTCCCCCCACTATCCCCCCAAAAAAAGTCCAAGTCAGGCACATGTTCCAGAGAAAAGTTGTTTGCAACAGTCTGATGATTTTAAATAAAAGGAAAAACCCAGCAGCGATTAGAATACATAATTAACACATATTTAAGTTAAAAATCAAACCCTACAAAAATAAACAAATTGAAACCAGCAACAATGTCAGTTCATTCATGAGGTTACAAGAATTGGCAGTACCCCGAATCGTCGCTCACCCTGCAGACGTGCACCAGTCAGGCTGTAAAGCACTTGGATGAGTTTCATCAAAGGGAGAAAACCTGCTGGAAAACTGATCGGGAAGCTTTTCCACCTCCTCATTAATGAGGAAATGGGCTAAATCAATTATAAACGCGTTCTCCATTGGTGTGTTGATCATATGCCTCAATTGTAAAATGGGAAAACTGCTTAAACATGGAAAATGTGACCAATTTGACTTTAAAGGAAATTTTTAAATTGTAACAAGTACGTCTGTATCGGGCATTTCCAAGACTGGCACAGCTTACCCTAGAAGTGTTCTGACTTTTGCACAGTTAGCTACATGCAAAACCAATTGGCTTGGGTAAGAATTTCATAAGTTAGAAAAGAACAGAAGATATTCGTTAAAAGCCGTTTACTCAACCACACATAACTCATGCAACGCTGGCCTTGAAAAGGCTTGGCTCACTTTTTATGAGACAGTTTAATCCAAAACTCTTAATCAAAGGCCTCAGCACTTGTTCTGAAGCCCTTCAGAGACCCTCAAGAAGCTTGAGGATCCTCATGATCCATGGCAATCCTGTTTTATCGTTTCTCCTTTTGTAAAAAGGGCCCCAGTCACACACGTCTGTTTTTTTGTTTGCCTGGCACAGTGAGCTCTGGTGGATTCCAGCGGTAGCACCGTCGCTACCTGGCTGCATCTGGGATGAGTCTTTTAAACCAGCGGCTCACCGCCATGTCCACTCTCAGCACTAACGTGACTCCAATCAGCAGGACGGTGCTGCTTACCAGGAACCCCAACGCTTCAAACATCAACCTGGAAGGACAGAAGGGGACACTGGGATGTTTGAATGATCTCAACAAGATCCCAGAGCTGAGATGTACACATAATAAGTCACGCTATACTCCAACTCTGAGGAGCCAAGTGCTGCTGATGAGTTTATATGAGATGGAAAAGCAATTCAGGCACTTACTTGGGTGCAAAAACCTTCCACACCATTAGGTGTCTCCGGAGAATAGCAGCAGCACAGACTGAAGAAAAGACCTGTGAAGAGAGTTGAGACACTTAAAGGTGTGATGTCATGCTGGATATTTACTAAAAAATATACACATATAGAGAAATATAGGCTGTGCCACAGCTGAAACTCCAGCGCCACGGCTACAACCCCCCGCCCCAGTAGACTTCTTACAAATTGCACCTTTAAATTTGTCTTCGCTGCCTGGGAACAAACCTGCACTCCATGGATGAAGAGGTAGCGTGCCGACAGCTGCAGAAGAGCGGAGCTGAACTGCTCTGGGTTTTCTCTCAGTCTCATCTCCATGACGGCATCCTCACCTTCTTCCCCACAAGCTCTCCCACCTCTGCTCCCACGCACCTCACGCACCAAGGGCCACAGCAGCAGCAATGGACACCCCACTGAGGACAAAAATAATGCTTGCTGGAATACTTTGGTCAATTTTCTTACAATTTTACATGACTTTTTATAGGATTACCTGCAAATAGGATGTGTGAAGCAAAGGTGTTGAGGGAAACCAGCAATGCAGGTAAAAAGGTGCCTGTGTGTCCATCAGGAAACCCCACAAAGGCAGCACCCCACTGGATGGAGGGAAAGGTGGGTAGGTGACCGGTGGCATGGAAGAACTGGGTAGCAGCGAGAGACCAGACCACTATTGGAGCCCAGGGCACGGTAAAACCACCTAGGGGACACAGTCAGACAGAGGAGAGCAGATTTTTTTTTTTTACCAATGGGCAGTGCTGTGAATTAAAAACTAAGTGTTTAGGTGAGACTGTACCCGTAGAAGCTCCGTGTGCACCACTAAGATTTACGGAGGAGGCGTGAATGTGCAGCAGAGCGCCCATTTCTAGCAGAAGCAGGAGGAAAGACAGAGCCATGCCCTCTGGGTGCAACAGCAATAGTCCAACTCCCAGCATTCCCCAGAACAGCAGCACAGGGGCAGAGTAGACGGTTCCCAGTCCGTAGGCCTCCACAGTGGGCCTGTTGTCTGCCTCAATGCCTCCGCTGAGCTCTCCATCTTCCAGGGAACGTCGCATGCGATGGTAAATCTGAGGGATCAGGTGGCGCAGCTCAGCTTGGGGGCTGATGCCAGTGCTCGCTCTGTAGCGAGGCAGAGCAGGGGCTGAACTTCTGGATGAAGAAGTAGCCCGGGCCTTCACAAACACAGTAAGAGGGTCAAGCCAGATGAGACACAGCCCGAGTCCCAGGAGACAGAAGGCCGCCCTCGGCAGGGCCAGCTGGGCCAGCCGGATCAGCTCGGACAGCTTCCTAAAGCTGTCCTCTGGAGTGGCGCTAACCGCCCAGTGGAGTGCCAGGCAAACCGAGAGCAGGGGAAGGATCCAGCGAGCCGTGAACACCGCGCCACCCGAGGAGTTCAGATTACCATAGTGGCACAGGCAGTGTCTCAGCAGATACGCAAACACACCGAGAGAGATGACAGAGAGGATGTAGTACAGATTCTTCAGCTGGCTGTCCTGCAACCGTGACAGAGGAGACAGGAACGGCGACGGCTGGCAAAAGCCCTGCTCTTCTCTGCACCCATGGAAGGAGAGGGAGAGGTACATGCTGCCAATGAGAACTCCAAGGCAAGCTAAGAGGATCCCACTCTCTTTCCTCACTATTGATGGTGACAAGGCTGGGGACGGCAGCAGCCCAGCAGACTTCAGAGGATCGGGACTTGGGGGCAGAAGTAAGCCATTCCAGTTGAGATGAATAGGAATGTAGATGACCAGAGAGAGCACTAGAAAGGTTATGACACGGCCTTCAGCAATCACGTAACTGTCTGAGAGCAGGGAGGCACATCGGAGGAGCGGCACCATGAGAGGAGGAGTGAGGAGGCGACGCAGGACCAGCCACCTGGAGAGCTTAGAGGCTTTAGCTCCGTTCTTTGTCACGGCGGGGGGGCTGAGTCTACACACTCTCCAGAAAAAGAGAATTTCAGAGCTGAAGGCACCAGCCGCTAGGCACCATGCTGTCTCCACGTAGCCCCGTGTGAGCAGCTGGGCAGCTGCAGCACAAGCCCCCACAGCGAGCGCAACAACAAGCGGAGCCAGCAGTCCAGCAGTTTTTTCCCTCATCAGTGCCGGGGAGAGTTCTGACATCAAGAAACACACGAGGCAGACAGACGCCAGGAGGACTAAACCTGCCGCCATCTTGACCGGATTGAATCGAGCCCAGGTGGCTCGGCAGATGTCTCTGACGGAGGTGAGGTAGGCCTGCAGAGCAGAGACCAGGTGAGAGGAGGGCAATCGGCTCTCTCTAGCTGTGAGGAGGTACTCAGAGGACAGGCGGGAAAATTCCTGCTGCAGCTGGGAGAGGCTTTCTGGTGGGATATCTTTGGCCATGCTGGAGTATGTCTCCAGGAAACGGTTAACCTTTAGAAACAGAAGAGAAAGAGGAAAAACAAACAAAACACAACAGTTAATTTGTCTTTAAGTGAGGAGAACAAAAGGGATCTTCTCTGTTTGGGGACTTCAAGATTTATAAAGTAAGCTTTTTTCTACCTAAACTACCTGTTTTGCATTGATCCACAGCGCCTCCAGCTGGCTGAGACCCCCAACTGCACTTCCTGTCTGCCCATGTGGAGAGAATAATGGGAGGAGGACCTGCCCCACACTGCTGTAGGGGATGGGAACCCCCAGCAGCAGAGCCAGGGTGGGCACCAGGTCAGTCTGTGGAACCACATCTGGTTCCGTCTGTCAAATCACAACAAAGCATGGTTATATCTGAACAATGTCTCATATCAATGTGCAGCCGAGAGAAAAGGGAGGTTCCAAACAAGAAATTAATAAAAATAGAATTTTTTTTCTTACAGTTAGCGGAAAATCTAATTAGTTTTACACTTTAAGAAAATATCAGGGAAACTTGTAGAAAAAAAAATGAATGTAAATAAAAGTTTAAAAATACTAGACAAATATCTAAATACATGAAACAAAGAAAAGCTATGAACTAACTGGGTAGAAATGAACTTTCTCATAAAAATAACCTTTAAAAGGCCAAAAACATCCCATTAAGTCCTGACTGAGTTTTAAGTTAAATCTTCATGGTCTTTTGTTCTGGTCTTCCCAAAAAAGCTGTGAAGCAACTGCAGCTTATTCAGAACGCTGCTGCTAGAGTCTTAACAAGAACCAAGAGAACCGAGCACATCACTCCTGTTCTTAAATCTCTACACTGGTTACCAGTAAACTACACAATCTATTTCAAAGTACTTTCAGGGTTTGTTGTTACCTTTGCTGACATGTTTCAGTGTTTTACCAACGCCTTCATCAGAGCAACCACCGGATGTTGATGGCGTCACTTCATCCCACAACTAAAAGGAAGTGACGCCATCAAAATCCAGCAGTTGTTCTGACAAAGGCGACAGTGAACATAGAAACATGTAAGCAAAGGTAACAAACTCTTATCACTCTGTGTACAACAAAGAACTAAAGAAAAGGGCATGATGGATATCCTTCATGTATGAACGCCCAGCAGGGCTCTGAGATCCTTAGGAAGCGATCAGCTGGTAGAACCTCGGGTCAGAACCAAACAGGGTGAAGCTGCTTTTAGCTGCTATGCTATAAACAGAAGGAATCAGCTTCCTAGTGACCTCATATGTGACCAAACTCTAAAAACTTTTAAATCAAAATTGAAAACATTCATATTTTCATCAGTCGTTAAATTAATGTTTATGCTGCACCTTCTGCACTGGACCTGCTCACGGTCACGTTGATTTTCATGTTCATGCTGTTCTTGAAAAGCACATTGAATCGCCTCTGTGTCTGACATGTGCTATACAAATAAAGCTGCCATGCCTTCACATATTCTACAGCGAACTCTCAGTATGCTTGTCTGCACTTATACAACAAAGCAGTTAAACGGATTTATTTTTTTATAAACCTGCATAACACAGTCATAATTTATATAATAGTCTCTAATATGTTGTCAAGATTAACCCTTTTTTGACCTTTTGACCTGCTTTGATAGTTTTGGGTTAAAACTGACCCAAAAAAAGCATAATTTCTACACCTACCTGAGACAGTGGTGCTGGGAAGATAGGGGAAGGACTGTAAAGAAAGAGGGTAGCATCAGTCTCCTTCTGACTTTCCCCTCCGTGATCTCCAGTGTCGGTCATCCCGTGATCTCCCATCAACACCAAGAGGGTGTCATTCTGCAGGCGGTCGATCACAGACCTGGACAGAGGGCACGAATGAGCACCAAGCAAACAAAGGAGAGAAGATGTATGGATGACATGTTAAATGAATAGATCCTCACTCACATAGCAGCTAGTTTACATCTTAAGCTTGTTTTTATAACTTTGCGAGACGTATTTGTTTATATTTCTCATTTCTACTCATGTTGTTATTGTTTAAGTTTTAGGGGAACTGCATCAGCAGAAGTTGCTGCAATTTCATCATTAATTTATTCTAAATGCAATTTTTATTAACAAAAAAAAACATTCCAGCCAAATACTTCATTTTAAGCAGCAGCGAATTTTCTGAGTCTATCCCTTAGTAGGACTGTCTGAATAAACATGTCTTTGTCTAAATCAAAGCCTGTTGTACTAATCATCTGACCTGATGACACTGTCCATCTGGGTGAGCTTATCAGCCATGGCTGGGTGGTCAGGGCCAAACCTGTGACCACAGTGATCTACCCCGAGAAAATGGGCAACCAGGACATCCCAGTCGTCACCCATCACTGTTTCAAACCAACATAAACAAGTGCGCGAACAGAAATTAAGCATGATAGAGGCATTGAATACCTGTGGAAAGTGAAGCTCTGGTGGTAAATACATACTAGTTGTGTAGAGGTGCTGCAGTATCCCGTTGTCCACTGTGTGCAGATCCTTGACATTGAAAGAAGGAAAAGGCAGGGAGCGGTGGAACTTCTTGGGAAACAGACTCTCCCAAGTGTCATCGCCCATGAACACCACTCGTTTGCCTGTGAGAGGTCCGACACGTTTCACAAAGACACAGTAAATATAGTGTTGTGATGTTTGGTAAAAAGCAAGGAAAAAAAAAACGAATCTCACCAGTTTTCCCAAACTGTTGGATAAGATTGTCCTCCAAGATTGCGCTGGATGCAAAGTTATTTCCCACATCCACAAAGGTCGGCAAGGATCCGGTGGTGAAGCCCTTGATTCTCTGCATTGTGGTGGTGGGTGGGTCTGCTCGGAAGGTGTACAAACGGCTTTGGAGAGGCCTAGAAGAGAGGGTCTCCTCCAGCACAGGTATCTTGTTCTCATAAGGTCGCGGCGCCGTGTTACTGGGGTCAAACCGGGCGAAGTCGATCTTTAGGGCGTCGATGATGATGAGGACAGCCCTGCGGAAACGCGGCTGGGAGCCGCAGAAGTCCCCAGACCCATCCCCAGGCTCGAGTATGTCCCCGCAGGTGCTGGTCCTGTTCACCTCCATCCTCACCAGCAAGAAGCCGCCCACGAACAGGTAGATGCCCACGAAGTACATCAGACACAGCCAAAGGAGCAGGGACAGCACTCGCGTTCCCTTCATCCTAAACCGGCAGGTGATAGAAGTTAGAGCGGAAGTTAGCTTTGCTTCACGTGAAAAAAGTAAATGCACTTTAGCAACAACTACAAACCAGGTTCTGATAAATGTGAATGTAACGCAAAATAAACTGTCGATAATCAGGTGGCTAACGTTAGCAAGGCTAGCTCGCCTCGCTTTGGACTGACCTTGTAGCGGATGAGGTTCCGTCCTCTCTCGGCCGGAGGTGAATGTGTGTGTTAACAACAACAACAAGGTGGTACGGGTATCTCAGGTAGACGGCGAACGGAGAGGCACATTGTCCTTCACTGATTCTGGTACAGCGAGATTACAGGTAGGAACTCTAGCGTGCAGGGAACCCGGCGGAAATTCACGGAGGACTGGTTTTTCAGTAACACCCGAGGGTGTCTTCTTTTGAGGACTCGGGTTAAACATTTTAACCCTTTGATCCATAATGGTCACTTCAGCGGACAGGTACTCAAAATTGTTATTTTTGCTATTAAGCACAGCTGTTGAAGACTTTTTGGATTGAGCCCCTCCAGTTGGACTTCAGTAAGTCAAGTCAGCATATTTCATGTTCAGAATGGACGCTGTCCACTGAGGTGGACATGTAATAATTATGTGTAAATTATTAAATGTTCCAAAAATATTTGTTGAAATTTATTTCATTCACACCTAAAGATGAATGGAAAAAAATAGTTAAAAAAACATGGTTGAAGATTTCATAATTCATACATGAAAGGGTTAAAATTGCCTAAAGTGGAAAATAAACCAAAAAGAATCAATAAAACAAACGACATGGCAGTTTTTACACACACAATAAAAATTGTATATATATATATATATATATATATATATATATATATATATATATATATATATATATGATTTTTAAGCACTTCGGTCATCTTGGGTTTTCAATGTGCTATAATTTGTCATTGACCATATACATTGCAACAGTTGTTCAACATAACTACAAATATACAGAGAACAGTGGAATTCTAGAGATCAATCTTGTCTTAACAATTTGACAAAAATACTTGTTTAATGAGGACACATGTCCAGGCTGGTCAGGGAACACCTTGGCTACCACCGGTGGAGGTTCCTTGGGAGCAAATTGTTAGGGCATCTTTGCTGGGGCTATAACCTCCTGCGGTTTGAACCCTTATAAGCAGACATCAAACGAATGATAAAACATATTTCTCCATGTATTTGTTAAATATTTTTTAAACTTGTGCATTGATGTGAAGTTGGTTGTGATTCTAAATGGCATTTTATTTAAAAAAAAGTTTAAATCACTTCATATTTTTATTCCATATTTTATCCATTGGGTGTCAAACTCAAATTCACACTGGGCCGAAATGAAAATCTGGGACGAAGTCACGGGCCGAAGTTAATATTTTTTGAAAAAAGTGATGTAAATTTTGCACATTTTCTTTATCAACATATATGCAATTTTGAACCTTTTAATTTGGAAACAAACTTATTTTGCATTAACACTGAATGTGGAAAAACGAAATTAAACACGAGCAAGTCAATTTTAAATAAAACGCATCAGTGGTATTCATTACTTGTGGTACATTCAGCATTTTTAAAATCTATTCAGGATTTATATTTTCTTGTTGTTTATTCATTTTTCTTATTTTTTATTCTCCCTTTTTTCTCCTGTAATACGTGCCATCGCTGCTGTGATGTCTACCACTGAGGAACAATAAAGGGATTTTCTATTCTATTCATCTACTTTCCCACTCCTGTTTTACTGTAGGTTAAATATTTTCTCATGGGCGGCCCGTGAGACATTTGACAGGTTTTTTTTAGCGGAGGCAGTCATATTATTGGTGGGGACTATTTAGTCATCACTGGATATTGGTAGGGACATGTCACTTCCGTCCATGCCAAATCTACGCCCGTGATTGGCCAACAACAAAATAAAAATATAATTTTATCTTAAATCAAAATGAAATATCTCAACTGTTAACTTTCATGTTTAGGAGCAGAAAAAGAGCATAAAACCAAAATATTTAAAGCTCAGTTTGCTCCACTGATTTACTGTGATGCTCACCTGTTCCAGCCAGATACCTGCATCATGGGGTTGATCTCTGAGCTGAGGAGACTCCTGTTGTTTTGTTCATTTTCATCATAATAACGACAACATTAGATGACAACAGGCGCTCACAAAGGTTTGTGCTGGTGAACATGGAGAACATCTCAGCAGCTTTACCACGTTGTGTGTTGGGGAGGAAAAATAAAAACTACAGCAGCCACAGAGTCATGCTGATTTGAGCTTGTCGCAGCTCGCTGGAGTTATATCAGCTCTGTCAACTAACTAGTTGGAAAAACTTTCTCTTTCAGTTGTGAACACATTACTGAGCGGTTAAAATCTCCGTCTCTGGGCTTCAACATCGGCAAAAAGCTGAGTTAACTTGGCGCTGAGTGAGAGGAGTGTTTAGTTTGTCCGAGACAGGGGAGCTGCAGACACCGGCACCAGACGCTGGAAAAATCACACAGTAGGGGGCGCTTTGGTGCTAACACCGCAAAGCATCATGGGAGTTGTAATCTTTGCAGTAAAACCGGCCAGCTTTAATATATTTTTTATATTTATCTTGCAGGCCTTGTGTCTGGCACATGTGCATTAGAGCGTAAATTACACAAATTGCCATGTGTTTTATACTCAGTAAATACACTGATTATGAAGTATTCAGTTATCACTATCTGCTTCTTCTCTTCCAAGCTGAGGTATTTGACTGATTTCATTGTAAAAAAAAACTTTAGCATCAGCTTATCTCAGAACAAATACATTGTAACTGTTTGGATTTAACATAATATGGACCAAATAATAAATATTCAGACTTTATAAGCTTTCTACGTGGCGTTGAGCTCAAAGCCTTGTCCCACAGAGGCTGAAAGGTAAAACAAATTTCAGTGCAAAAAAAGAATAAAGATGTATTTATATATATATTTATTTATTTATTCTTAATCAAACAGCTCATCTGAGCCACCATTCCAACTAAAATCCCATAGAAACTAGAACAGCTTTTTAAAACACAATAAATGGAGAAGCAGGTAGACAGTGTTATATTTCATGTAAATCTTTTGGAAGAGAAATGTTTGCAGTACTAAAATAAAGCATGGAAAAGTTGCATTCATAACTGAGACGACACTTCCATCAGTTTCCTGAAGGCTGCTCTTAACTTTAGAATCCAATCATAACTGAAGGAGGAGGATCAGGGAGGATCCTCTATGAAAACGTGATTAGTCCAGGACACCACCACCACACAGACTTTGTAAAGGTTGAAGCTTTTCCTGAATATTCCATCAGAACGTTTGACTTCAGCTGCTTCATCTGGCTCCGTTCTTTGTTATTTAATGTTCTGAGTTCATTTGCTGAGTCCTCTCCTCTTCAGGTGGAATCAGCTGGTCTAGAACATCCGGCATTTTCTTCTCCACCACTTCTGGAGATGTTGTTGGGTTCGTCTTGGCCAGCGTGCTGTAAATAGTCATGGCCTGAAAGGGAACAAGTTGAGAACACATTGAAGTCACAGTGGCTTGTACTTCATGCACAGAGCTTTGAAACACACACACACACACACACACACACACACACACACACACACACACACACACACACACACACACACACACACACACACACACACACACACACACACACACACACACACACACACACCTGTGAGACCATTCCACTAATGTCCCCCGTGTTCGACGGCAGCAGGATGGTGTTTGAGCTTTTGGCCAGATTGGAGAACGCAGACACGTACTGTTCAGCCACACTCAGAGACGCAGCTGCATTTCCATTCTGTGCAACAGAAAATAAAACAAAATTCACCACAAAATGCCTTTAGCTGGAGTCACTGTCACATTAAAGAAAAGGAGAAACTCACTTGCTCAGCCAGAGCGTCGGACAGCATGCGGATGGCCTTTGCTTTTGCCTCAGCTTTAGCTAAAACAGCTTGGGCCTCACCTGGATGGAACACAATTATCCATTACATATAGAGCCCCGGTGGAAATGTGTGGATAGTTTAAATAATTTAGCTGACCAAGAGGACTCTAAGTACCAGCTGCTTTATTGATCTGTTCTGCTTTTTCTCCCTCGGAGGCCAGGATCTGGGCCTGCTTACGACCCTCGGCGACATTAATGGCTGCCTCTCTTGTCCCTTCAGACTCCAGCACCGTGGCTCTCTTTTTACGCTCCGCCTCAACCTGCACACAGTCAGGAAATGATTGATACCACACTTGTGTTTTATAAGAGTAGATTTAATTTTGTTTTAGCATGTAAAAAATAATTTAGGCGAGATGTTTCCACACCAGTCCAGCTCCTCTGGTCCCATTCTGTTCCTAAATGTAGCTTTTTCTTGTGGTTTTGTTTTTTCACACAGGGAAAACAACAAACATAACATAATGAGTCACATTCAGCCTTCTGATTGCTCACATATGTCTGGGGGCGGGGCTACCAGAAGTAGATGCAGGAAGATAGTTGAGTGTCCTGAGTTGGTGGAGTGTCCGCCCTGGGACTGGGAGATGGGGGTTCAAATCTCAGTTTGTTTTCATGAGAGTTGTTTAAAATGAAGACTGGGGGTGGTGTCAAAGCATGCTAAACCTGCCTAGTGTCCAGAGCAGGACTGTTAGTTGTGTCAGATCTTCGTTAGATCACATTCACACCAAAAGCAAACGGCACTGGAGTGGATACACCTCAAGAGCCGGTGTACAGTTCAGTCTGCACCCTAGAGCGACTACTGGTCACGCCCGTGTAAGAAAACCCCAACAAGGAGAAACACGGACCAAACACTTAAGGAGTGAACACATCCCAATCAAAGCTGCTAAAGTGACTGAAATGTACTAATTTACAAAGTCACCAATCAAATTCCTTACCTGCATCTGCATGGATTCTTTGACGCGAGGCGGGACGTGAATATCTTTGATTTCATAACGGAGGCAGCGGATGCCCCACTCGTCTGAAGCTTGGTTGATGGAGTGGACAATGTTGGAATTGAGGGATTCTCTTTCCTAAAACAGAATTTCAAAGCCAGTTACAACATTTTACACAACTATTACAAAAAATCGATGTAACATAACGCAGTCATCCGTCGTTACCCGGAACACTTTGTCTAAGGTCAGTTTGCCCAGCTCTGAACGCATGGTGGTCTGTGCCAGCTGTGTGACTGCATACTCCGGATCCTCAACGCCATAGCTGGCCTGGGAGAAGGCAGAGAGGAGACGTTAAAAGCCCCAGTTTGAAAATGTATAATTAAATAAATCATTGCTGGTGTTGCAGCATACCTTAAACGGGTCTAGGATCCTGAGGTAAAGCACTCCATCAATCTGTAGTGTTACGTTGTCTGTAAAAGAGTGCAGCTGCAGTAACTGGATAAGAAGTTTTGATAATCCAATTGCTTTGCTCAGACTGAGCGATACATTCACTGGAACGATGATTTATGCTTTTCAAAGACAAACAGCCTTCATCCTCATCCCCTTGTGAGGAGTCGAGGGAGGTGATTACTCACCTAGAGACACTGCAGACTGTTCTGGAACATCGATCACGATTTCTTTAAGACTTTGCACATAGCGAATTCTGTCAAGAATGGGAATGAGGAAGTTCAAACCCTAGATGGAAGAAAACAAGGGAGAAACATCTGGTGTCAGTCTCCCGAAGGCGTTGTTGAATTTATAAATGTAACTGACCCAAAAACAATGCCAAGGTGAAAAAACTGATACATTAAAGTGGCCGTTTATTTTTATCTGACCAAAAAGAAATTAAACAATGGCCCCCAAAGGTCATTTGATTTGGAGCATACTAACCGATACTTCAGCAACGCATTTAAATAAGAAAAACACATCCGAGAGGTCCTTTAAGATTTTATTATTGGTGTATTTTGTTTGCTATTTATGTAATTTCCTTAGATTATCTGTCCACAAACAGCGCCTACTCAGAAAGTACATTGATGTGTTAATATTACACATATATTTAAAAGTACCCTCATAGCACTTATTTAAAGTTGTTTAAACAGTATGTGGCTGTAATGATTGACGCACGCATGTTATGGTCAGCCAACTCACTTTCCTCTGCACAACACTTGAGAGCTGTGTGTGAGTACATGAGGATGCAAAGCCTGATGCTTGCAACCACAGTCATCCAGTGTGATATATATATATACACACACACACACACACACACTGCTATCTTCCTGTTTATCTACTGAAGAAGGTGGCACGCGACTGAAACGCATCAGCTTTTTCCTGTCCAATAAATAATTTTTTAAGTGCCTCGGATCATCATTTTTTTCTCTCTCGTCAACACTCGATACTGCTCTCTTTGGCTGTGACCTTTTCGCTGTCTGTAGGCATTTTCTCTGTTTTTAATGCATCTTCAAGTGTCAGCTGGTTCTGTATTTTTGTTCGAGTTGCAGAAGTGAACCGAGTGTCAGTGTCAAACTAGAACGAAGTGGAGACGGGTGATTCGTTGTGGTGACACTTGAAGGGAAAAGCCAAAAAAGAAAGCAGTTTGTTTTTAAGGTGGCAAATAAGATTTATAGCGATGAATGCAGCTCGGTCTCTTCTTCCATGTGAAATACATGACTAGTTTCTGTTGCACTGGCGTAAAACACGTCCTAACTGCAGACATTTTAGGCCCAAGCCAAAAACTCGCACTTCCACATTCATGCCCATCAAATGCGCAATCATAGTCTAATTGCTCTGCTCAGACTGAGCAATACATTTACTGGAACGATGATTTATGCTTTTCAAAGATAAACAACCTTCATCCTCATCCCCTTGTGAGGAATCGAGGGATTTGCGCCCATCAAATGCGCAATCCCAGCCAGGGGTGCAAGTGCACAGGGTGTCCCGATTCTAAAGTGTGGAAGTTGATCCCGCCCCTTTTGCACCCTTGATCCGCAGCAGTGGGTTGTGGGTAATACCTTTAGCCCATGTCTGCATCGATGCGAACTTGGGCTAAAGGTATTACCCACAATCCATTGCTGTGGGAGAAAAGCTTCAAGTGCCTTTTCTGAAAATATGTCATTTCAAATGAAAGTAGTTCATTTAAGGACAATTAATTGATCCTCTGAATGTTTTAGACAAAGCAGTAATTAATGTAATTTATATCAAATAATTGCTGAAAGGTTTTTAGAAAAAAGTTGCACAGCGGCCAGCATCCTGGCATGTGTTGCGGTAGATGATACAATGCTCCTCATTACAATTCGGCAATTATTTGCACATTTGCGAACTACACACTCAAAAGCCTTACTGTGCACTTTCTCCAAGTGCACTTCACAAAAGACGAAAGCGCACAGTGTGAGTTTTGGGATTAGGCCTTACTCTCCTGAGGCGACATACAAGCTCTGCATTAGCCGGCTAGATAACAGCTGCATATTATGGTGTCTGAATCCCCCGCCTGCCCTAAACTGAGTGGCGTTACGGTGTTGTGGTCCTCCAAGTAACCATGAACATTGATGCCATTGTCATTATGTTTGAAAATCTCTATCTCAGGATGAATTTAAAAGATCAAGTTGTTTTATGCAGTTACATCTGACCATTTCCTCACATTTCAGAATTTTGAAAATCAAGTGATCAGATCTGAGCATCCCTATCTTTCCACTTTGAGTTAAATACCGGTTCTAAGATGCGGTGGAAGCGACCCATCCTCTCCACCACCCAGGCTTCCTGTTGGGGCACAAACAGGATGACGGTGTTCATGGGCAAGCTGGAGGCCCATCGCTGCTGGACCGGTGTGATCCACAGCCTCGGTGTAGCGCTCTGTGTTTGCTGCAGGAATAAAACACAGCTATCAGCAAATGATGAGACAATCTGAAATATTCATTTTTTAATGATATAGCAGTAAATTTATAAAAACAAATTACTTTATTCACAACATGCCAAAGTTGTAGCAACATTCACAACAAAAGAAATTATTGAATAAGTGGACTGATTTCTTAAGTCAGTAGTGTCTAAATGTTTTAAGACGTGGACCAAAGTTGCAAATAAGAAATTACTTGTGGGCTACAAATGTATGATTAAAATAAGTAAACACACACACACACACACACACACACACACACACACACACACACACACACACACACACACACACACACACACACACACCTCTCCACCAAAGACTCCCTTTATATTTGCCCTGAAACAAAACCATCAAAATCCTCAGATTTCACTGGCCACTTGTTTTGTAATTTTCCTATTTAAATTTAATCCATTTTCAGCAATAAGAACACTTTATGGGTCATTTTTTCCTCTGATGTTTTAGGAATAGTGATCACAAACCTGCTAATTAGTACAAAATAAATAATTAAAAAAACTGTTGAGGGCTTGTGGTCTAATAAGCTTTAAAGTGGCCCTTCACTTATATTTTTTAACACCTTTGCAGTGATCTATAGTAGGAATGAATGCCTCGTTAGTCATACTCGGGGAAATTTAGATGAATCTGTAATGTTAAGCTTCACATTTGTAAAAAATCTTGTAAAATACAAAAAATTGAACCATTGTTTTAATATAAGCAAAATAACCAAATTTATTTAAAAAATAGTAAACACGTTGTAAGTGATCTTAAGTTTGACAGGCTTTTAGATCGAAACAGAATTTTGTGCTGTGTGAAGAAAAAAACAACTAAACCAGAAGCATCATCCTTAGGTTTATAATCTTTTGTATGACACGTTTTCAGCCTGCAGCTTTTAGGGAACCATAGCCTGGTGAACTAGACCAAATTCTTGCTTTGCAAAAGTAAATAATACATTTATTTAGTCTGGCTTGCCAGGCTAAGGGAACCAGCTACTTGGCGTTGAAATATGGGTTTTGTGTTTGTTACTTATCAGTCCTCAGATGAAAGGGGAAACACGTGTCTGACTACAAAATATTTTATTTTTCAAGCTGGAAATAACATTGATTTAATCAGTTTCGAAGAAAGACCCAGACACCAATCACGTATCGTGATATTGTATTAATTTAACAGGGCGGACATACGTTGGGTGACAGCGGATGGTTTGCACATGCTAACAATAACAAGCCGGGCAGAACACGCGAACTTACCAACAAAATGGATCCGCCTCTCCGACAAATCGTTCGTAACATGGTTTGGATTTGGTAAACAGACTCAGGCTACGGTAAAAAAAATAATAAAAATAAACACTTTTATAAACAGGACACAGATAAAACGAACTCTACACTCATGTGAATGACCCTCTCCGATGATGAGAAGTTACATCAGAGGTGCAACGCTGAAAAGGTTCCGCCTGCGAGGATATAATGAAAATCAGTGGTTCCGCTTAGATGTCGGTGTGATTGTAAAAGAAAAAATAAAAAATAAAAATAAAATTATTAATATATTAAATAAAATATTTTAAAAATACGTTATATTAAAGCTAAAACATAATTTTCTATGTTTGTAAAAAATACTCATACATATATTTATTTTACCTTAAAATAAATACAAATAAATGGGACTTTATTTTAAATTATTGTGTTAACTATTATTTCACAGTTAATAATAAAATTACTTGGAGAAATCAAATTAATGTTTGGACTTCTAAATGTTGCTATGTTATTGTATTCATGAATACGGCAGGGTCAAATCATATTTCCGATGTTGACCTTCGGATGTTCCGATTTTTTAGAAATGCGTCTGGGTCAGATAGTGACCAAACAGAGCAACGGGGTGGCGCTATTTGTTTAGTATTTATTTGTTTGAAAGGAACTACAACGTTTACCTTTTCCACAGGAAAATAATTACCTGTCTGAAAGATAATTTGTTAAGACAGTTATGCGTGTTCCCACAAACAAACAAGCCAAAACAAACTATGTTTGCTTACTGTAAAATGAATTATTTTTTGGTTTGTTTTTAAGGTTTGCTAAAAAAAAAAGAAGAAATAATAATAATAAATAAATAAATAAATAAAAAAGGCTAAGTTTTGAGCTGAAAACTGGAAATGGAAGTTCCAAAAGAGTGCTTGCTGGAAAATTCATTTGAATGAATTACAACTTTTGGAAGTTTAAAGGAATGGCAATAAAATGAAAGAAAATAAAAGAGGTTGTCCAATGTTACATATTTATGAAAATCTTTATAATACAATTGCTACATTACTTTGCATTACATTACTCATTAAAAAAAAGATTCTAACACGCTTGTCTTTATGGTGTTGCCATTAAAATGGTAATTTTACATAAGTTAAAATGCAACAACAATGGCCAAACAACAAATATAACCATACAAGGCTAAATTAGTAGCGTCTTAATTGGTTTATGTGTATAAAACGAGTGCGTCACCTGTTCCGCTTGTCAGTGTGTCCCTCTACATGATTGGTTTAAAATCTGTAATGACTTCGCCCCCTCTGAATGGTTCCGTTTCTCTGATTGGTCAGCTCAGACGACAGTAACAGGTGCCGTCTGTTGGTTTCTGCCGTCTCGCGCTTCCAGTCAGTCCTGAAAGCTGTGATGAGAGTTTTAATAATGGCGTGGATGTGGAGGGGGACCGTTTCTGCCTACTGCTCATATCCGGTATAAAGGAGAGACTTTTTAAGCACCCTAGAAGGATTTTATTCAAGTTCTGAAGATCTTTTAAACGGATTTTATCATGTTGCCTGGCTCAGTAAATCTCCGCTGAGAGCCGTCCCAAGCTAGAAACTGTGAAACTTCTGGTTCTGTCGCTGAAGACGAATTGTCATGTCGTTACTCTGTGTCAGAGGTACGTTTTTCTACTTTATTGTTTTTTACTTTTACGTTTAGAAACATGTTTCCTAAATAAATTATCTTGTTTGATTTTTGTTCAACCACACTTATCGAGCAGGATCCAGTGGGGGGGGGGGGGGGGGGGGGGGGTATTTTATGTGATGTAATTGTACAATTTAAAGAGAGAAATTGGTTTTAAAGCAGTGAAAAATAGACAGGGGTTACCTTTCTCTAAGTGATTTTAACTAAATTACTGGAACAAAGCACACAGCATTATTACAGCTGCCAGAAACCAAACAGTGGTGTTTATGAAAACGAGTTTCCTTATTTAAATTTATAATGATATAACATTGAAAAATACAACTTTTAAATATCAAAATAATGCTTATAAAATCAAGGTTTATGGTCCTTAGAGGTAAACAGATAGGGAGGGGGTATGGTGGGGGTTGGAGAAATCATGCCTCAGCATCCATTACAGCTGCGAAACACGTTATGTAATATTCAGGTGTCTGAACAACACTTGACAGTTTTGCTCAGCACTTCTACAAGATGTGGGTGGTGTACATATGCTGCAAGCCCAAAACAAATTTTAAATGTTCATTTTTTGACATTTACTTTTGTTTCACCATCACATTATCAGTAGGAATTCAATAATTAATAACTGACCTTGTTGCTATTGTTGCTTTGTCTTTTTGGTAGAATGAAAGCACCAATGTGATATACTATAAAAAATAGTTTCTCTTTATATTCCAGTGAGTACTATAAACCAGAACCTGACAAATGTCAAGTTGGTATAAAAGCAAGTAGCCAACACAAGGGACCAAATAAATACCACTTGGGTATACACCATAAATGCAAAGTGCTTGGGGTTTCAAAAGAATTTTACACACACAGAAGTATAAAGTGTTTTAACAACTATACATTTTTAGGCTTTTCATTTGTTTTATTTAAGTGGACACTGCAATATTAGGTAATGTTTCTGCCTGTTGCAAAAAATCAGTGTATCGTATGATAAATGGATGAGTGCAGTAAACAAAAGTGAGCACAATAATTTCCTTTTGCATGTTTGTTTTCCTCATGTCTCACCCTTTCCACCTAAAAAGACGCAATAATACTACATCAGTCCAGCATGACAACTTAAAATTGTGACAGGCCCAGTAATGCTTCATATTTTTAATTAATTCAGTGAAATTTGGCTTACGATTAGAGGACTTTAGGCATTTTATGTGTACATAATTAAAAATACAACAAAGTACAATTGGCAGTCATTTATTTTCTGTAACTGCTGTAGCCCTGATTGTCCTCAACAATCCTGGCAGCCAATTTTCTCTTATCTGACAAACCATTCATTGTTATTTGATCATCATCTAGTGTTATTTTGTGAACTTGATGGCCCCACATTGGCCAGTTTTGAAAATCCACTATGGAACTTCTTTTTTTTCTTCTTTTCCGTGTCCTGTCTGGCTGTGAAGCAAACAGAATTGATGTCTGAATGCTGGTGACAAGCCTTACACATTTACTCTCAGGTGGAGCATCAAAGCATCTGCTTTTAATGTCATGCCTGATACTTAAAACTTTATTGTTATTGTTTTTGAATGCTTTTTAATTCCAGACACAGAGCCAGAGGTGAAAGAGAAAGGAAGAGACAAAAGGTGTGTGTGTGTGTGTGTGTGGGGGGGGGGGGGGGGGGGGGGATTCCACAAAAATAAACAATAATGAACAAGAGTCTACTTCTAGACCTGCAGAAAGAGAAAAGAAATAACAAAAAACAAACAAATGGGACACAACAACAATACAACAAGATCAAGCTATCACTGCGTCAACTTGATGAAGAAATATATAATCAACATTGTTTAACTGAACAATCACACGATAATAAATCACAGTGCATTTAGTGCCAACCGTAGCCTTAAAACGTGTTGAACGTGCCCAAGTCCATAATTATGAGAGCACCATGTGAGCACCTGTGTGTGTACACTCGCTTGTTTATGTAAGGTTTCTCTATACAGGGTATCCGCGGGTCCTTAAAAAGTCTTAAAAAGTCTTAAATTAGCTTTTCCAAATTTAAGGCCTTAAAAGTCCTTAAAAATGACAAATAATCCTTAAATACAGTTTCCAAAGGTCTTAAATTACCAAAGACCCAATAAACAAGATTCTTTTATTCTATAAAATGTTCGTGAGTTTATAGTTAGTGTTCAGCTTTTTTTGTGTGTGATATTGGCATTAGCGGAAACGTACACATTCAGTTGGTTGTGGAAGGGGGGGGGGGGGGGGCTATTTTTAGATGAGCACATTAGCTGGTTAAGCTAGCGGGAGCTTGCGCCATGGGGAAGTGCAAGTTTAATGTTAACTGGATGGCTAATCCCACGTTCGCGACGTGGTTAGCGCCTGGTTCCGGGCAATAACTGCGAGGCCCGCTGTACTCTGTGCAAAAAGCTCTTTAAACTCAGTTCCATGGGAGTTAAAGCTGTGGAGTCGCATATGCACAGCGAGAAGCACAAAGCCGCAGCCAAAACCCGCGAACAGACGAATGCAATTTCTCAGTTCTGCACCGTGTCACCGGTTTCCCCGGCTTCAGAATCTCCGAACTCAGCAGCGACCGCATCAGCATCGGACCTCAGGGGGATTTTTGGATCCACTGCAACTCTTCAGGCAGATGTACTGTGGTGCCTGCACAGCGTAACAAGACATCAATCCTACGGCGCTAATGAGGGAGTTGGAGATATATTTAAAGCTATGTTTCCCGACTCAGAAATTGCTAAAAACTTTACGTGTGGTAAAGACAAAACAGCATATGTAGTCAAATTTGGTTTGGCTCCCCACATCATCAAACTCCTTATGGCCGATGTCAACAGAGGCAGTTTTACTTTGATGTTTGATGAAACCCTCAACCAGATGACCAAAACAAAGCAAATGGATCTGCATGTTCGTTACTGGAAAGAGGATCGAGTCCAGTCCAGGTACCTAGGATCACAGTTCATGGGCCATGGAACAGCTAAGGATTTACTACACCACTTTAAAGTAAGTAACAAGCCAACACTAGTAAAACACATGTAGCCAATGTTGTCAGAAAATTATGGGTAATTATTGCAATTGTGTTGCTGTAATCCATAAATGGGAATACATTTTATTTTTCAACTAGAATTTTTTTTTTATTTGAAAAAAATAATTCAATAATATGACTTTTTCAGTGGAGCAGTTCAAAGTTTTTCTTGTTTTGATACATTACCCAGCCTAATGCTCAGTTTTTTCCTCAGGAATGCTCTCAGCAGCTGGATTTGAAAAAGCTGCTTTCAGTCTCCATGGATGGGGCCAATGTAAACTGGAAGTTTTTGGAGTTGCTTCAAGAAGAACTGCGTGAGCAGTATGAGGGGAGACAGCTGATTGTGGTTGGGAGCTGTGGCCTTCACACTCTACATAATGCCTGCAAAAGTGGTTTCTCTGTGTGGCAGCTAGAGAAAGTTTTGAAAGCCATGCATGTTCTCTTCCATAATGTGCCAGCTAGGAGAGAGGACTTCATAACTTTGACAGCTTCTGCAAAGTTTCCACTTGCAATCTGTAGCCACCGATGGCTTGAAAACTTACCAGTAGCAGAGAGAGCCTTGGAGATGTGGGCATCTTTGACCATGTACCTGGATGCAGTCAGAACGAGGAAGCTACCAAATCCAGGAACTGCATCTTTTGACACACTTGAAACTGCTCAGAAAGACCCCCTTATCCTTGCAAAGCTACATTTCTACATTGCTGTTACCAGGACTTTCGCTCCTTTCTTGACAAGATATCAAACTGATGAACCAGTGATGCCATTCTTGGCCACAGACTTGGCAGAGTTGATGAAGGTAATAACATCCTAACACCAGACAGTTTGATGTTGCAAATTTATGTTGATTTGTATAATTCTGTATGCTTGTCAACATATTTATGCATACACTGTCCTCTTTTTACTGTTTTACATTTGAAAATGAATAATAGTCACATATGATTTAAAAAAATATATATGTATATTTGTGTTGTGTTTAGATTCGTCAAAAAAAATTGACCCATTTTGTTTTGTTTTTTTCTCAGAGTGTGCTAAGGCGTTTTGTCAAGAGAGAAATCCTGAAGGATATCAGTCCACTGCAGCTGGTCAAACTGGATGTTGGTGACAAGAATAACTGGGTCCCCCTGCAAGATGTCACCCTAGGTTTGGGTGCAGAGTCAGTTCTTAAGGTAATGTTCCACCTTTAACCCTGCCACTGTCTTTATGGGTGACCCCGTGAGGAAAGTTGACCATTGAGCAGGATTGATGGTTTATCCCTTGAGGTCCACGTGGCAGGGGTGAGGTGGTGCTCACTCCTCACCCCTGCCACATGGACCCAAGGGATAAACCATCAACCCTGCTCAATTGTCACTTTTCCTTGCGGGGTCACACCCATTAGGATAGTGGGAGGGTTAATTCAATAGTGATGAATATTGTTGGCTGTTATAATGGGTAACTTGGTCTTATTACATTCCATTCTGTCAGGAACTTCAGCAACAAAAAAAGATAGGGGAGCTTACTGTCCTGGAGTTCAGGAAAGACTGCATCAAGATGCTGTCCACCATCATTCAGAAAGTGCAAGACAAGAGTCCATTAAAGTACCCCCCTGTTAGGCAAGTTGCCTGTTTGGATCCCAGGAGGATGTATTCTGACCCAGACTGGTGCCAGAAAAACATGACTAACCTGGTGCAGAGGTTTCTGCAAAACCAGCAGTTATCAGGAGGTGTCTCTGCTGGTAGGAGAGAATACAGCAGTTCAGTTTGTTTATGTAAAAATACATGAAGAAAATTAATTTTGCAGATACATGTTAAATATATCAGACATAAGGTGCAATCAGTCTCACAAAAACTCTTGCTTGCAGCTTTAATGTATACAATCAAAATACATTAAGTCATTTTTTTATCACTGTGTTTTTTTGCAGGTGATGTAATTGTCTAGCAGTTTACTGAGGTCTTATCAGTTGGAGCGAGAAGTGAGACCTTTCTCTCCTATAGACCCACAGAGTGTAGACTGGATGTATTTCTCAATGGCGTCCTGAGCCAATGCTATCAGGAGCTATTGGAGTTTAGCAAGAAACTACTACTTCTGTCCCATGGACAATCAACAGTGGAGAGAGGATTCTCTGTAAACAAAGAGGTGGAGACCCACAATATGCAGGAAGACACAATGATTGCTCAGCGACTGGTCTGTGATTATGTCACTGTCTCTGGGGGGGTCTTCAATGTCCCTATGTCAAAGGAGCTACTTGCGTCGGCTGCATCAGCAAGGTCCAGATACAGAGTGCATCTAGATGAGCAAAAGAGGAAGAAAATCACTGATCGCGAGGCATAGAAGCAAAAATCTGCAGAAGAAGCCATTGAGGAGCTTAGGAAAAAGAAGCAAATTCTGCTGCAAGTGTCCAACAGCCTACATAGAGATGCTGATAAACTTGCAGAAGATGCTGAAGGGAAGAGTGGAAGCTTGATGGCCCAGCTCATCACAAAGTCAAACACGCTGAGGAAGAGATACAGAGAAAAAATGTATGAACTAGAACAGGTGGAAACTGAACTGAAGACCAAGACTGAAGAACTCAGATCTATTCCATAACTGAGAAAAGAGAAGGACCATTTACTTATATTTAGTATTCAATACATGGTACTTGTATTCATTTTACACGTTCATGTAAACTCAGTTTATTTAAATACGAATATTCACAGTATTTAACTCAGAGTTGTTAGTACTGCATTTTGTTTTTGGAAAATATATGCACAGATTCTCTTATCTCGATGTTTGTGTTATTTTTCATCACTTTCAGTTCCAATAAAGGTTTGGCCAGAACTATTTGTAAGGTCGTACTCGTCACATTATGTTTTTTAGTCTTGAATGTAAGGTCTTAAATTTGGTCAAAGTGGCCTTAAAAAAGGTCTTAAAAAGTCTTAAATTTGGCTCCCTTAAACCTGCAGATACCCTGTCTATAGGAGCGTCCAATAGAGAGTGTGAGGGGCCACCGATCTGCCCCCTAAAGATGTGCAGGAGACGGAAGGAGTTCCAAGTCCCAGAGATCCAGGAGCTGCACCAGAGCACAGGAACCCCAGGGAGACTGCAACCAGAAAAGCCCCTGCCCCCCTCGAGAGGTGCAGAGGATTGCCTCGGGGGGCCACAACCAGCAGCCGGCAGACTCCCGGGAGATATCGGCGGCAAGCCCACAGGCCCGCCCGCAGCCTCCCACCCCCTAGCCGGCCCAGCCCGGGACCCAGCGACCCGGGACCCAGGGGTGACCACCCCCGCCAGGGACCCAGCAGATCCCAGGGAGCCAGACCCCACCAGGTAGCCACCAGGATTGGTCAGGCAGACATAAAAAATCTTACACTCCCTGACCTGGGAGCCACGACCCAGGCAGACCAAGGCACCGCACTCCACACCAGATGTGGCAGGGAGAGGGGAGACGAAGATATATATCATCTAAAGAAGTTCCAGGAGAAGGGAGGAGTCAAAGGCCCCACCTGACATATAGTCATACACAAACACAGTCACACACTCCCTCCCTCATGCTCACACATACACATACAACCAAAGACTTACAAAAAGGCACGCCGGACACCCACTCACGCTTCCCATACACACCCTATTCACTCTGGTCCCGGTACTGCTGCACATGGGGTACAACCATTACCGGTTCCCAGAGTTCGACCCTTTCTGCTGGGGTGCTGATGAGCAGGCTCCCCCGCCCAATGCTGAGCACAGCAACCCACCACCCCAGACCCCAACAGGATGGCCGGATCTCCCTCCTAGCCTCCAGCCCAGGAAGCCAAGCGACAACAGATGTGTGCTAAGACCCCTAGTCTCCCTCCACCTGCTCCAATATGGTGTTGGTGAGTGTTGATGAGGTGTATTCCATGGCTATGGTGAGCGGGCAGTGCGGGTATCGTCTGGCCTATGCCAGCTGATGCCACCACACCACCCCACTTGCACCCACAGCCCTCGGTGTCCAAGTGTAGTTTAAAATTGGAAGTGGGCACCAGCACTTGGGATGAGGTTGAGAAATCCCCCTGCCAACTGCCGTTGAATGTGCTCACTCCCAAGGCCCTAAATGTATGTTTGCATGGAATGTCGTTGGTGGAAGTGTTTAAGGTGCAAATAAAATTAGGGGGCAGGTTGCCACAGGAATGCGGAAATGGGGTACATACCCGCACTCCCTGACTTGTCCACCCCCAAGGTCCTATGTGCATGTTTGTGTGATGATTTGAGGGAGCAGGAGGAGAGAAATGTGTGGTGATGGGGAGGAATGGCTGGTTGGGTTTAGCCCTCCAGGGAGCCAGCTCCCCCACTGGCCCCAATAGGCACCTCTGTTGTCAAACTGCCACCCAGGGCATGGAGACCCCAGCCCATCCTACCAGGCCCCAAAGCAGCAGCATCGCAGAGCCTCATGGTGTCCAAGGGCACCAACCTAGCCCCACCCCAGCAGAATATCTACACCCATCTCTGCATTTGCACAACTTCCAGATTATATAAGACATAGGACATCCAGGTAAGGTTGAGTCCTCCCCCTCCTGGACTTCCCCCTCCCCTGTGATGGGACAGCAGAGGAGCCAAGGTCTACCTGAGGCCCCTGATCCCGAGCCAGGCACTGCTGCATGTTCCTGCCTTCTCCCCGGCAGCATACATGTCAGCACCTGACCTCCAAGGCCCCGCCCAGATCCCCACACGGGGCCGGCCACCCCCACACCCCGAGCCCCCAGGCCCCCACCCAGACCCGCCCTGGGGGCAATGCAGCTGCCGGGCAGTGACCCATGGCCACCGCCAAGACCTCCAAGGGGCCCCGCTCACAACAGCCAGTAGTCCACCACCCGAGGCAACCCAAGCACCTCCAGAGGCCACCCAGTCCCAGACACCCCCAGTGAATCCACCTCCAGGGAATGTCCAGATACTCCAAACTCAGACCCTCCACCCCCTCACCCACATCATCCTGCAGGACAATATCAATGGTCCCCCTCATCGCTATGTGATGGAACCGATCAAAGGAGCCCAGAGAGATTGATTTGAAGTGGAAACAGAGGCAATATCAAGTGTAATATGATCTAACAAAAGATTTCTATACTGATTGATACAGAGAGTATCTCTATTTTTCCAATTCAAGAGGATAGTTTTCTTAGCGATGCATATGGCAGTCAGAACCACGTGAGCCACAGATGTTTCAATCGGGACATCGTCCAGGTTTCCCAGTAAACAAAGAGAGGAGGAGGTTGGGATATGACATTTCAGACACTTTGACAGGTCTTCACATACTCTACCCCAAAATTCCTGGACAGGTGGACAGGACCACAGTGCGTGAATGTAATTGTCAGGAACGTTGTTTGTGCAGAGTGTACAGGTGTCAGACGACACAATACCCATCTTGAACATCCGATGACCTGTATAGTGTACTCTGTGTAGAATGTTGTACTGAATTAATTGTAAATTGGAGTGTCTGATCATTTTAAAAGTTTTTAAACAAGTTTGGGACCAGAAGTTCTGGTCAAAGCTGACTGATAGATCCACTATGGAAATTCTTTGTAAACTGCCTCTTGTTAGTTTACCTAATTTCTAATGCAAGCAAATGATATTTTTGCAGGTGTAGGAAACAAGAAACAAGATCTTATTAGACTTCCTGCCTGTAATTCAGTTTTTGTTGGAAAACAGCTTTCACCATTTCAGTGAGAGTGATCATATTTCGTCAATGAGTCATTGTTTAAATGAAAGAAGATCAAAACAATAGCGGCTAGAAATCCTCATTATGCGCTTTCAGCCTGTAAAGTGAATTAAAGTTGACAAAAATACAACTGCCAGGACTTCAAGATACAGCTGACAATGTTTATATTCCTCTAACATCAATGATTTCTGAAGTTTCGGGACATGATTGTGGCTCGTAAAACACTGTGTTGTGGGGACATGAGAATATCTCCAAAAAGAATTTTGATTTCCAATAGTATTTTTGCTGTGAGTCAACACTTAATAGTTTTTAACACTTTCAACTGTTGCTTTCAAACTGGTTTCAGTGATTCTTTAGTCAGAAACATGAGCATCTTCAAACTGGACAGCCTTCTGCTGGCCAGAAACTTTGGTGGTTGTGGTAGGCACTAACAGAGGTTTCTACCTGCTTTATGACTTTACTGTGCCATAGGGATGTGTATTGGTGAAATTCTGGCGATACGATATGTATCACAATGCAAGGGAGATGATACAGTGTATCACCATATATTGCGATACATTCAGTCAGACGTTATTAGTGATTTATTATTGAAAGAATCTATTGTAGGAATATGCAATAAACATAATACTTAACATGTTTAACATGAGGTATCTGAACCATCATAGAGGGATTTACATTTCAAACATTGGTGAAAACAAATCTCATTGCACACTGCTGCTAACTAGCGGTTGGCGTTTGAATTGCACCAAAAGATAGAAAATACACAAATGTGTGCATGTAAATTCTTCCAAAAATTATATACACAACTTTTGAATATCCAAAAATTAGATACAGAACATTTGAATATCAATGTAATATTGCTGGAAAATAAATCATATATATTGCCATATCAATATTTTCTTACATCCCTATGTCAGTAGCTAATCTAAAGGCTAGAAGTTAGGTTTTTCAGTTCGTGGCTGTCAATAAGAAATGCAAGAAAAATAAATTTGCTTTTTTGTTTTCATCATGGTGACGCCAGGAAGGAAAGGGAAGAGAGTCATGTCTTTGGAGGAAAAAGAGTCAAATAAAAAAAGAGCTAAAACCAGAGTAAACATTGGCTCAGCCATCACTTAGTGGCAAGTATGTA